GGGGGGGGGGGGGGGGGGGGGGGGGGAGGCCGCCTGCGCCGAGCATGGGAGCGGAGGCTGCGACGCCGAACGGCACCCTCCCCGTCACTGCTGCTGCTGCTGCTGCTCTCGGATGACTCTGACTCCTCTTCCTCCTCCTCCTCCTCCTCGCCTTCCTCTTGCTGCTGCTGCTGCTGCTGCTTTGGCTCCTCTGCCTCAGCCACCACCACCTCAGGGGCCTCTAGGACCTCATCTGCTGGGGAGCTGAAGAGGGTTGCAGGGGCAGGAACTGGCTCCACGGGCCGAGGGGCCGGTGTGGAGGGCTGCGGCTTGACGGCCAAGGCGTAGTTGTGCTCCAGGAGGATGTGACTGAGGAGGGGGCCCGGGCGGTCCGCCTCATCTGATGTCTCTGTGGCCTCCGAGTCATCGCCAGGAGGCAGGGCGGCTGGCCCACGACGGGCTGGGGTCAGGGCCAGGTCGGCTAGCACTGCCAGGTCCACTTCTGTCCCTGGCTCAGCTTCTTCCTCCTCAGTAGAGCGGCCTCGGCCTCCAGCCCTGCTCCGACCTCCTCGGGACACCTCCTCGGGCCAACTCTTGACCAGGGACGCATGGTCCAGGGGCAGGTTTCGAATGGTCCGCTCCACAGCCCGGGGAACTTTGCGGGAGACGGGTCCAGGAGACTTGATCTGTGGTGGGGCAGCTGGGGGAGGCTCTGGTGCCGGCACCTCCTCCACAGCAGAGAAGGAGACGGTTTTCCGGCGTTTCTTGGGTGGGGGCAGGAGAGGGATAGGAGAGGAGGGGCGCTCGTCAGGGCGGTGGGCGGGGGCTGGGGGACCTGCTGGCGGCTCAGGGGGAGGCTGGGGCACACTGGGAGGTGGTTCCTCGGTGGAACCTGGGGAAGGAAGAACACAGGGAAAAGGAGAGGGTCAGCAACTTGGGCCAACGTCATCAGACAAGAGGTTCCTCGTGGGCAGGGCACCGGCTGCCTCGCTGAGGAGGCCATGTCCAGGCTGCCTTTTGACAGGCTGCACGCTCGCCCCCACTGCCAGCAGACACTTGGGCTCACTCAGCAAACACACTGCTGCCTCCCGGCTGCAATGTCCTCAGCACTGTGGGCTCCCGCGGCGGGAGGAGATTCGACAAACAGCCACTGAGCACCAACTCTGGCAGGCGTGGGAAAAACACGTCAAGCACTTTCAAAACCCTCACAGAGCTTATAATCCAATGGGGACAATGACGGGAAACAAAGGCACAGCCCAAACTGTGAAGAGTCGGGATAGGAGCTCCAGGGAAACAAATACTTAGACTGTAGCCTGTTTACCAAGACTGGTGGTGACTGACTGAACTACGTCCAAGGACTAGGCACACGGGCCAAAACGAGTTCTGCCAGGCAGTGTATAATGAGGATGCAATTAACCAGGCTCTGAATTAAAGTATCCGTTATTTCAACTACAATGTTCTTTCTCTGTTTAGTGAGGTGAGAAAGATACAATGTAAAAAGCCGAATCTTTGTAGTAAAACACTGCATAAAATTTGTTTCCTCCCCACCACATGCCAAACAGTACTAGAGATTTGCCAAAGTGCACAGGGGTCAAGACTCCCCTAAAGAAGGTGAGAGTGAAGCTGAGATCCTAAGGATGAAGGGGTGGCCTGGGGAGGGGACACATTGTCTTGGGCAGGCGGTGTTCTCTCCCCAG